GCCTGGTATGCCTATTGAGATCTTTGCTGTTCTCTGGCCCTGGTTGCTATTTGAAAGCACGTCTCTCGTTCGTGTTGTAGGTGATCTTCGGAAGCACTTGAGGGTGGGCTATTTTTCATCTGTGTTTTCCTATGAGAGAGCAAAAATATCTTCCTGTGGTTGGTCATTTGCTTTTCCCTCAGCCTTCTGGAATCTCTACCACCTCCAACTTCTGTCTTTTGAGTTCTGTTCCATCTGTCCAGGTGACCCTTGTCTGATCCAAGCAGTCTATTCATGTTCTTTTTGCCCCTAATGATCTTGAAAAGAGAAATACCCCACTATGTGTTATTTCTAGAAATCAAAGCTACCCTCTCATCTCTAGTTCCCACATTTTAATGCATGCTTGATTTATGTAAGGGCTGTAAATGCCACGGGATCAGACTTTGACAACCTCCTTTGCATATGCTGGGGGCGTGCTGGGGACTGAACCTGGAACTCATGGATGCTAAGCACACTCTCTACCACTACGCTATACTTCCAGCCCCAACTCGCTCCTTTGCACACTTTGTAGCGTGAGTATCTCATATGTCACTTTAAAATGTGATACCTAAGGTCAGGTATGGTGGTTCATGCCTACAATCCCACCACTCAGGAAGCCTTAGGCAAAGGGAGCATGGATCCAGGCCAGCCTGGGCTACACAATAAGACCCTATCTCAGATAAACAAATAAATAGGTGAAACAAGGAAAGGGTGAATATTTACATCTTAGCTGAAGTTTTCCCTCTTTTCGTACCTGGCTTATCAGAGTAGAGTGACCCATTTCTAATCAGCTTTGGCAGATGATTGACATGTCATTGTGGCAAACAGACTTTTCCTTCTTGTGTTTTATAGTCTGTTATCAGGTCTCTGGGGTTTTTGTTTTAGTGTGGTTTTGGCAGTGCTGGAGGCTGAATCTAGGATCTTTCACATAGTAGGCAAGCCCTCCAACACTGAGCTGTATCCCCAACCCTCTTTTCAATTTTTAATTGAGACATGGTCCCATTAAGTTATCCTGTCCGTCATTGACCTTCCTTACTCTGTGACCTTCTGATCTTGAGCTTGCTATCTTCCTGCCTCAGTTTCCCAAATAGTTCTCAATACAGGCCTGCACTACCCACCAAGCAGTATTTACTTTCATGTCTGGATACTGGACATTGAATTTGTTTCCAGGACTGGTATAACATCCTACAAGCCAGCAAGCTGAAGACAACAAGGATGTATTTTTCCCAAATTCTAGAAACAGGAGTCTGGAATTAGGGCCACACTTCTTTAGGGGACACAAATTGACACTGTTTCACACTGTCCTAGCCTCAGGTAATGATTCTGTACAGAATACCATAGGCCAGGCAGCTTCGGCAACAAACCCTGTTTCTCAAGTTTCTGGAAGCTCAGGGTGCAAGTCTAACAGGCCAGGGAGCTGATGGATGCCTGCTTCCTGGTTTGCAACTGGCCATCTTCTTATCATTACATGAAGTAGATAAAAATAACCTCTCTTGGGTCACGTCTAACAGGGGAACTGATTTTATTCATGAGACCCACCCTCTCACAATATAAATACCTACCAATGACCTTGCATCCTAATATCATTCCAGTGGGAAGGTTAGGATTTTAACAGATTAATTTTAGGGAAACACTAACATAAGCTATGGACAATCATTATCACTCCTGTATTGTTTGTGTTGCTCAGTCCAATTGTTTTCTTTTAGTGTGTGTATATAAATGTTCACATGTTCATAGTACAAGTATATGTATGTAGAAGCCAGAGGCTGACGTCAGGGTTATCAGTATTTTCTTCACTTTCTCTCCACTTTATTTTTTTGAGACAGGGTCTCTCCTTGAACCTAGAGCTCACTGACTTGGCTAGGCTAGTGGGCCAGCAAGGTCTAACAATCTGCCTGTTTCTGCCTCCCAAGTGCACTACAGGCATATGCTACCAAACAAACAAACAATACCACCACCACCACCAAAAAAAAAAAAAAAAAAAAAAAAAGAATCCAAGCATAACTGTTGGGTATCCAATCTCAGGCCCTCCTGATTGCATCAGAAGCACTTCACCAATCATCTCTCCAGGCCCTCTAAGACTCTAACTTCTGTCTCTCTTTACCTGCCAGTCTTCTCCTGCGTGTTTCAACGTGGTCCTAATATAAATACATCACTGTATTTATAATACTGATTTAGGTCTCACCCTAATTCAGTATGACGTCACCTTAATTGCATAGGTTCAAAGACCCTCTTTCCAAATAAGGACATAAGTGCCAGTTCTCATTTGGATTGAATTTTGGTGGGGGTGAGGGAAGTCACTATTTAATCCAGTTTAGGTTTTACAATATTTTCTGTATATTAAGATTTGATATCTTTGCAAATATGAAAATGCACATCATTTTACCCAAACAATGTCTTAAGGCCTCTGTCACTTTAATTTTGGGAAGGCTCATGACTATGGGCACCTGCAGGTTTCACTGGAGCACACTGCATAGCAGTAGTCATTCCGGGACAGATGTGACAAAGGGAGTGTGCAGTTTAATAAGCACAGCTATGCAGCCTGTGAGGGAATCAGAGCCAGCTAATAATAGCTGCTCTTGAGCTAATGCTTTTTCCACTGCCGAATCCTCAGAGCGGTGATGTGCTGATTGTATCATGTGACTTGTGAAACAAGGAAGACAAATGATGTCATAATTCTGAGTATTTTGACTACTGCTGTACACTCTAAAGTTGTAGTGGCTTGGTGCTTAAGAATACTGGCTGCTCTTCCAGGAGACCCAGGTTCAGTTCCCAGCACCCATCAGGCAGCTCACAACTGCTTAGAACTCCAGTTCCAGGGGATCTGACACCCTCTCCTGGCCTCTGCAGGCATTCGGCATGCATGTGATGCACACACATACATGCAGGAACTCACACATGAATATAAAATAAATAAATCTTTAATGTTTTTTTTGTAGCACATGCAATAATTGTCTACAAAATTGTAATGTCCTAAACTTCTTTAATAGTTTTTAAAAATTTTCCTAGGAGCATCTCACAGTAGGCCTCCTTTTTCCTAAGAGCCTGCATGGTCAGTTGGAAGTTTACTCAAGTGATGGCGGAGGACCACACTGAGAACTGAAAGTATCCGAGGGGAGCCATCACGACAACCCTCCCCACTGGGACTTTTACACAGACTTCAAATGTAGTTTCTTCCTAATTTATCAACCACTGTCTGTCCTGAATTTAGACCTAAAGAGAAACGCAGCAAAAATGACACACGAATAAAGACAAGGTGTTGGTTTTCCATTTTGTCCTTCCAGTCTGGCACTTTCTTTGCAGCGTCTTAGATTTTGCTCAGCCAAGAGTATCTTTTGGAAAATTCTATGTGTGTCAGATATATGCACCTGCACATGAGTGAGTACACACACACACACACACACACACACACACACACACACACACTTGCTAATCTTCTAATTCAGTGAGCTTGTTTGCAACTTTAGCAACTGAAGAGGCATCATTACACACCATCTATCTCTTGTTCAAAGAACTTGAGACATGGGTAATCTAGTTACTACGTTTTACCTCTGTCTTGACATTATACTCAGTCCTTGGTATCAGTGGGGCATTGGTTCTAAGACCCTGCCCATAGCAAATTCCGCAGGTGTTCATGTCCCTTATGTAACATTATTTAGCACTTGCACAGAATCATGTACTTCCTCCCGGATACACTAAACCATCTCTTGCGTCTTACAACCCCCACACAATGTAAATGCTATGCAAGCTGTTCCACTATGTTGTTTAAGGAGTAACAAGAAGACAAAAGTCTGAACATGTTCAACACAGGTGCAACTGTAGCTTTGTTTGGCTGAATACAGAAATGCGGAACTCACAGAAACCGAGGGCCGACTGACTGTACTTCTTCTCCAAACGTGCCAGTGCTGCCCCATGAATACCTTTGGGCATGCAGACTGAGTCCATGTGAGTCCATGGACACTTACCCATTCTTTCTACGGAAATGATTCATACCAGATTTAAATTTCCTTGGGTTAATTGTTTTCTTTGTAGCTCACTGTGTTGCCGCGTCTTTATTGGAATTTGTGTTGTGTTTTCTTTTGTAAGACATTTGGATTCTGTGAAAAGCGTTATGTATGTAAGTAATGGAAACAACACCCACACCATTGCTTTGCTACTGGGGTGCCGCCACACTTCTGTTTGCTTTCTCTTCCATTTTTTTTTTTCCAAATCACCAGAAGAGTTCCTAGGAATAGAAATGATAAAACATTCTTAAAGACACAGCAAATCAGACCAGAGAAGATGGCTCAGTAGTAAAAGTGCTTGGCCTGCATGCATAAGGACCAGAGTTTGCATCTCCCGGGCCTATATAAATGCAGGGTCACCATAATTCTAGCCTCGAAAGGCAGAGACAGAGGATCACTGGGACAGGCTGGCCAGACAGGCTCGTCAGATCATCAAGCTCTGCGTTTGATTAAGAGATCCTGCCTCAGAGAGTAAGGTGGGAGAGTCATCAGGCTCAGAGAAGATGCCTGCTATAAATGTCAGGCTTCCACGGCCATTTGCACACAACTGTACACATGCCCACACACAGGTGATCCGACAAACACAGGCACAGGCATACACACATGCCCACACACTTGTGAAAGGAAGAAAAATGAAAACTAACAATACAGTAAATATATTATTACTTGTTAGTGGGGAGTCATAGTCATTTGAAACCTGACCCTTCCTTAACGGACAGCCAGCCTTCCTGAGCCTCTCATGTCATTTTGTCCTGGCTTAAACTGCAGTAGCAGATGCACTATGCTTGAAGTAATTTACTGACTGCTATAAATTGAGCATGGCGGGAGGTAAATATCAGAGTCAGAGTGAAATAGCTGTATAGCAACCAGAGAAATTATGGAGCTTCTGCGTGAATTGGACTGCTTTTATAAACTACATCGGGCAACAAAGTCCTCTGTGGGGGGGAACCATACAGCAGTTATGCAAAATGATCAGGCTGGTTTTATGCAATCTTTTATTTTTAAGCTGCTTTTAACTTAAAGGGCAGAAAAGACAATCTTTGGAATTTCATGGCCTTGCAGAAACAGGCACACGGGGTCCTGGAGTCACTGATGCTAAGAGAGACAAGGTGCTGTGGAACTGCTTGTATTGGTTTCCACTAGACTCTTCCTGTTTTGTAGGAGACGCTGAGTACAGAGCCTGCAGGGTCAAGAGTAGCACCTGCCGGTGGGAAGAGGACAAAGCTAATTAATATTCAGCAACCAAAAGGGACACCAGCAGTTCTGGTGTGATTGTGAAGTGTACCCCCCACGGACCATGTGATTGAACACTTGCCCTCAGCTGGTTGTGTTGCTTAGGGACACTGTAGAATGTTTGGGATCTTGGGCCAGTCAAAGTTATTCTTGTTTCTGGTTCAGTCCTGCACTTTCTGTCTTCTGAACTCCAATCACTACCTCACGCTCTAGCCTCTATAAACAGAGCTGCTTCTGCTACCACGTGTCCCTTACCACGGTGGGTTAAAATCCCTCTGAAATTGTGAGTCCATAGAAACCTTTCTTCCCTTATACTTATCTGTCAAGCACCCTGTCACAGTGACCCAAGGAACCTGATACACTGACCATCCTCTGGGGGCAGTTGGGTGGGCCAGTGTGCGGTGATCCGAAACCTGCTTAAGTCGAGGTGGACCTGGTGACTTGGCGGTTTGGAAGCCCATCTGTAGACATGTACGGTGCTGAATGAAGCCCAGATGACAACAGTCATGGTCAGGCATTGCTTCAGGTTATCAGTTCAGAAATGGCTGGCCTCTCCCTAAAGGAGGAGGAGGTCACATCTGCTTTCTACAGGAATCTCAGCAGTTTGGAGAGAAGCAAGTCTCAGGCCAAGATTGCAGAGGTCCACAGGTCTCTACAGAGAACTAAGACAGATAGTACTACAGGCTTTCTCCAGGGTGCTAGAGAGAACACCAAAAGTGGGAGTCATCTATGGTAATGGGATTTCCAGGTCCCTCGGCAGCCAAACCAGTTCCCTCTGTGAACATGCCCAAGGCTAGTGATACCAATCAGTTCTGGCCTTGGCACAACCATGCACAAGAATCCCTGGAACTCTTGTTGAAATGCAGGCTCTGATTGGGTATATTTGAGTCCCGGGACAAGGTTCTGAAGTTCTCATAGGATTCCCCACCGATGCCGATCCCTGTAGTTTCCTAAAGTGGTGGGGTCTCTCCAATTGCACTCATTTCATCGGCTCCACACTTTGTTCTCTGTCCAGTCCCCCCGTCCAGTCCTGCCAGCATCACATCTGACCACCTTTTATTCTTTTTCTCCTCTTCCAGTGACGTTGTGTGACTCCTTTTTTTCTCTTCCAGAATGAGCACCAGAAAAAAAACAAAAGAGCTTAGATTCACAGAAGAGACAGAGTAAGATGGCAAAACCCAAATGTGCTCTCCTTTGTCAAGTGCCTTTGTCAAGCTCAGGGCAGAAGCACCATGGCGTGACATCCTGGGGCCAAGGAAAAGCAACAGAACTACTTTAGGGTTGTCTTGGTTACTGTTTGTTGTGGCTACTTCTCTTGTTGTGGTGGAACACTCGATAAACGTCACTTCAGGAAGGGAGGGCTCATATTGGCGCACAGTGTGAGAGGGCAGTTTATCATCCTCGGGAAGTCATGGCAGCAGGAACGTGAGCTAGCTGGCCACGTCATGACCACAGTCAGGAAGCTTCAATGATGACTGCTAGCTCTCAGCTCACTCTCTCCTTTTTTTATTCAGTCCACGATGCCAGTCCAGAAACAGTGCTGTCCACATTCAGGGGAGTCTCCTCACTTTGTTAACACAATCTAGAAACCTCCTCACAGACATGCCCCAGAAGTTTTTCTCCTATCAAATTGACAATCAGTATTAATCATTACAGGAATAAAAAATCCCTGAATCAGTTTGGAAATCTGTTCCGTGGCATTTGCTGGAAGAGGCTGGGTCTGGCATCAAGGTGGCATGAACCAGGCACGTGGGAACACTGCTCTAAGCTGTGCCTTTGCCTCAAGTCCCCAGGCCACCACCCTGCCAGGCTCTCCCACTCACTGCCTGGCCTTTCCTTTTGAAGCTACTGCACCTGAAGAGGTGGAAAGGAGGCCCCCTCCCAGCCTTTTATCTTTAAGCAGCTGCATTATTAACAGAGAAGAAAAAGGTCTCCCATGAGCTATGGCAAAATCCTGCAGATTGGTTTGTGAATCAATGCAGCTTAGGCTAGAGCAACCTAATTTCCTGAAAGCCATTCTATGGCTTTGGCCTTCCAGAGAGGCATAAAGTTTGCACGGTATTTACTCTTCGTTAAAATTAAATGGAAATTGGGAAGGAAAAAAAAACTCAAAGAGGAAGTCTTCTAGGACCACATATCATTAACGGGGGGGGGGGGGGGGGGAATTAAAGGCTAGAAAGAAATGTGGGCAGACTGTACATACTGCATCAAAGGACATCTGGCAGTGTGGATATAGCAATGTGTTACAATGATAACTACCTCCATGTCATGGAGTTTCATGTGTTTTTTTTTTACATACTTATTTTGTTGTGAAATGCACATTTGAGAAAGCAGGTGATACACACAAAAAGTCCAACTTAATAAATTATATATACTATACATCTGGGTGAGTACAGAATAAATGAAGCCAACCCCAAAGCCTTCCACCCAACTGTTTTTGATAATAACCCACCCTCCCTTATTTTTAAAAAACTTTTAATTGATTCTTTCTGGATTTCGTATCATGCACCCTGATCCCACTCATCTCCCCACACTTCAAATCTGCCCTCTGCCCTTGCAACCTCCCCCACCAAAAAAAATTAAAATAAAATTTTAAAGAAAAACACACCTCGGCATGGAAGCTGTAGTGTGCCACAGTGAGTCACACAGTGTACTCTTTAGTCCATACATCGTTACTTACAACTGTTCATTGCAATGAGTCGTTGGTCTGGTTTGAGGTCTTTGGCTTCTGCTACGCAATCAATATTGGGCCCTCAATGGGGCTCCTCTTGAATATGCTGTTGTTGTCCTGTGTCATGGAGATCCTGTAGTTTCACATGCTCCACAGTTCACAGATGAGGTGGATATTAGGGTGGCCAAATCATAACTCTGGTTCTGGGCCTGGGTGGTAGCTGGGTTGGTCAGCCTGCCAGCTCTCCCTCACCCTCACCACCAAGGTGAGCTCTCCAGTACTGCCCACCCCCCCTACACCCCAGCTCACTCAGTGCCTCAGGCAGCGAGGGGTGGAGGCAGTTCTCCTGCTCTTATGCCCCTAGGGCCAGCTCACCTGCACCCACACCACCAGGGCCAGCTCTACTGTACTGCCTAGGTGGTGTAGGGCTGCTCTCCTGAGTGCTGCAGTTGGTGAGAGGCAGGGCCAGCTCTCCCACTCTCATGACTTGGGGGCACTCTTCTCTATTTTTAAGCTAATCTTCCTACCTCCTTTTTTTCCTTTTTGCATTATAGTTTTACTACTCAAGTATGCACTGGTAACAAGTATTTTCCTGGTTTTTTAATTTTACATATGTTTATGAGTGTATGCATGCCAGTCTTCCTATGTAGTATCAGAGGGCAAGGCCAGCTGTCACTCCTTACCCACCTTGTTTGAAACAGGCTCTCTTACTGTTCTTCCACTGTGTTCTGTGCACTGAATCAGCTGCCCCTGAGCTTCTCGGGAGTCTCTTGTCTCTGTCTTCCATTTCCCCACAGGAACGTGAAGATGGTAGATGCATATGGATCCAGGGTTTATATGAGTTCTGGGAATGTGAACTCAGGTTCTCGTGATTGAGTGGCAAGTGCTGTAACCACTGAATCAGATTCCCACCTCCCTCTATACATGGGAGCCTATGAATTTCTTTTTTTCTCCCCTTCATTTCCAGTGCTGTATGGTATTCCTAAGCTGGATAAACAACGTTTTATAATATCTATCGCTGGTGGATGTTTTCACTTGTTTCCTGTGTCTGGCTGTTATGAAAGGAAGCACTGTTCCTGTGGTAGATATGCACCCTGGTGTTCACATCTCATGCACTGGATGTGGGTATTTTTTCTTTTAGTAGATAATACCTAACAGTGCACCAAGAACATAGTAGCAGTTCCTGTGTCTGAGAGTTTCCATTGCTTTATAATGGGGACAAGTAGCACCTCTCTCTCTCTCTCTCTCTCTCTCTCTCTCTCTCTCTCTCTCTCTCTCTCTCTTTTTTTAGTCCAAGTTTTCTATTTTCCTCTTTTGTAAATATCAATTTATTTAATTAGGAAAAATGCTACTGTAAAACTTTTTAAGAATTATATTGCCCATTGGGGATATTCTTTTTTAAACCTTCTAATTGACACAAATCACTCTGTGGAAAATATGAATCACACATACATGGCTGAATGGGTTATCACACAGTGGGCACCCCTGGATAACCACCCACAGATCAAAATAGAACTTCTGAGCACTGGCATAGCCTTCAAATCCCAAGTTACTTTTGTCAGCAAAGGAAAATGGATATACTCTGCTGAACAGCCATTTCTTCCAAATGAAACACTCCCTTTTGGAGGAGAAGGGAGGCACACAATCCACAGAACATTATAGAGACTCACAGAGGCTGGGGGAAAGTCCCAAGATTCACACACCCTTTCCTATACTCACGCAAGCCTTTTATGTTTAGGCAGCCTGATTGGAGGAAGAGACCCTCTTACATGGACCCAACTGCACGTTGTACAAGGAGCTCCAAGGGTGCAGGTTTGTGAACTGACACTCATGCTGGGGTGGGTTTCTTAAGGTAATATAACTGCCTTTGAGTCACCCCTGCTCCCATAAGTAACCCCAATAAACTTCCTAAATTTCCTCCAGCTAGACTTGAGTATAATTGTCTCTGGTTTGACTTGCTGCCATCTGGGGTTAACAGATGTTTGCTAGGTCTCCTCAGAAAAAGACACACAGCATACTTTCCCCCAGCATGAGAGTTTTGTATGCTTTTGGACTTTTTCTTTTTAAACCAATAGGAACAACGTAGCCAATAAAACCTTACATCTGGTCTCCAGTCTTCCAACACTAGGAGGGTGATCTGTGTTGCCCTGTGCACTAGCTAGTTTACTTTCGTGAAGCAAAGCATGGTGTCAGGAAACTCATTTACTCCTTTCTTCAACTCACAGACTGTGTGGAACCTCTAGGCAGAGGTCATGTGTCATGACGTGTCTGTGATAGCCTTGAGGCTCTCTCTGACACTCAGATAACTGTGGTTTCCAGTTGAGTTTCTTCTTCCATTTGCTACCCAGAATCCTAAGTAGTATCACATCCTCAGACTATCTGCTTTTATGTAAATCAGAGATGTTGGAGGATTTCAGTTTCTCTGGGAAGTTGATTGGTTTCTGAGGATCCTGAAAATCCAAAGATATATATGGCATTCTGCCACAGGATGAGCCCTTGGCCTACAATTCAGGGCAACTTCAATACTGTGTTGTTTCATACTGGAACCTGTACTGGGATGAAGAATCCTGCCCTCGGATCTTTGTAAGGGAATAATTATAAAGCTGTCTTCCACAAGGAAAGGTGAATCCAACAGCCTGTTGTTGTAGGATATTAAGATACGTTACATTCGTTCATGCTGTGGAATATTTGTTTACTGATGCAAAGATGTGTTACATTCTTTTGTGTTTGTTTGAGACAAGGTTTCTCTGTGTAACAGTTCTGGCTGTCCTGGAACTTGCTTTGTAGACAAGGCTGGCCTTGAACTCACAGAGATCTGCCTGTCTCTGCCTCCCAAGTGCTGGGGTTAAAGGCATGTGCCACCACCACCCAGCTTGTGTTGCATTCTTTTATGTTGCATTTAACTCTGTGAAACTGTGTTACTTTGCCTACCTAAAACACCCAATTGTCCTAATAAAGAGCTGAACAGCCAATATCTAGACAGGAGAAATAGGCAGGGCTGCCAGGAAGAGAGAATAAATAGAAGAGAAAAGAAGAGGGAGGAGTGAGAAAAAGAGGAGGAGAGAAAGACACCAGGGGCCAGCCACCCAGCCACACAACCTGCCATGGAGTAAGAAGGAAAGAAAGACATAGAGAATAAAAAAAGGTAAAAAGCCCAGAGGCAAAATGTAGAAGAAGAAAAGGAGTTAATTTATGTTAGAAAAGCTGGCTAGAAACAAGCCAAGCTAAGGCCGGGCATTCACAAGTAAGAATAAGTCTCCAAGTATTTATTTGGGAGCTGGGTGGTGGGCTCCTCAACAGTAAAACAAACAAACAAACAAACACAAAACAACCAACTGCAGCCTGTGCTTTTTACTCTTTCAAATAAAAACTGTTCCACCCTTCTACAAAAAAACAATAGTTTATGGCTAGCTTTTGTTTCATTTGAAATAGTTTCAACTGAACTGGATCACAAGATGGAATCTTAGGATCATTTCTCAGGCCGTCAGATAGGCTATCAGCTGCTAAGTCTACAAGGCTGTGTATGAATGAATGTACTAAACACAATTTTCTTTTCTATTCTTTTTTTTTCAAGATCCTGGGTGTAATTATTAAAGCTTCAATTGTCCCTAGTGATATTAACTAGATAATCAAATTTGGATCACAGGCATGAAATAATTTAAAGTGTGCCTTCATTACTGTTCAACTGAAAATAACTCTGTAAAAATGATTCCCACCCTCCCCGAGCCCCATATCTGCCATGTGGTTATGGAAGTAGCCAATAAACTTAATAGGTCTACTCAAAAGGTCACATTGATTCTCTACAATAAAGAATATCCTATGTAAACAAAACAGGTTAGGAGATTCTACCACAGAAACAGGAGAAAATATTGTTGATATCAGATGCAGGAAAGACAAAATCAGAATTCTGGATAGAATTGCAAGAATTAGGAGCTCATCATTCCTAAATTAGCTATGTGGGATAAAGATGGTTGACTAAGAAGAGACCTTGCTGAGGAACTATGAAGATGTAAAGTCATCTATGTGACAACCTGTTTAATCTCAGAGAAACTTATACTATATGTTTTCCCTGACTGAGTAGGGGTAGAGTGATCTTGCTATGCTTTCTGTGACTAAGACAGTGCCTGCCATTCCTGCCCCCAACAGGAGCTGGGAGAAGTTCTCCCACCAACCATGTCCTGCCTGGGAAGCCAGTGTGCAAGTGTTAGACTCTCTTCGCCAATGCCTTTAATTCTTATCTAGTAATATTCTCTGCTACTTCATGAAAAGAGGGGCCCAGCTGGGTCCAATAGTGCCATAGCTGTATAACCCAGACATAACCCACAGGGGTTTAGGACAGAAATTAACAAATATATTTTAGCTTGAAACCTTACTGATAAAGAATTATCAGGAGTCACAGACTCCTTCATCCTGATTTAGAACCCAACTACAAAAGATGCTATGACTAAGGTCACCTAGCCTCAGATACAGGGTGTCACAGCCAAGCCAAACTTCTTTGCTAAAGGAGATAAAACGGGATGGGGAGACCGAAGTGTCCTTGGCTCTACTGTTGAATTCATCAGTATGTTACTAATTGCATGATCTTTCCCAATTTCCTGCATCTCTTTGGCCCAGATTTATGTCTATAAAATAAAATAAAATAAATTAAAATAAAATAAAAATCAAACTGGGTTTTCTAGGGATACAGTCCTAATGTTACAGTATTGTGTTCTGTTTCTTAGTCTGTGATTAAGTTATCAACCATACTTCATTGTTCTGCCTCTCAGGGGGCTCAGCACCACATTTCCTTTTCCATTGATATACCCCGAGAGATGATGTCAGGGTTGGTAACCTAACTCACTCCTGGTGACGGTCTGCCAGCACCTCTTAGAACCAGAGTCCACAGACAGTAAATTAGAACACTACAGTTTTAGGTTCCTTGACAGGCAATCCATGATCTAATTGCTCCTTGTTCTGGAACTGAAATTTCTACCGTGTTACATGGGAACAAGCCATCCGATTAAGATTCGGAAGAAGATGAGGTGAAGAAGTCTGGACTACCATGGGTATCAGTGACACCCTCTTGAGGACTTAGGACCTGTCAATCAATAGTCTTTGCTCCCTATAACTTTTGGAGTCATTAAATGAACAGTGTCAACATGTAATAATTTCAAGCAGAGCCTGGAGAATGGTTTGAGATAGGATGTTTTGAAATATCATCCATGAGACCGGAGATACAAGAGAATGTCCTGCACTGACAGCGGCAGCAGGCAACTTGAGGAGGAACTGACTGGGAGCAAGCTCACCCTGTTCTATTAACCCCTCCCGTTTGTCAGCTCTCATGGCTCCCCGAATCTCCGATTGCTGTGGTGCTCTTCTGCAGGTCCGTGGCAGCTATTTCAGGCACCTAACCCAGCGGGACAAACGTGCACAAGTCCGCACAGTGTGACAGAAGAATTAAAAATGTATTTACCATCTGTTGGTAGTTGCCTTGTGGAACTCTCTTCTTTTTCTCTCCTGCAGCCACAAATAGGGTCTTTGAGCTTCCTTCCAACTCCAGAGAGCTGGACTCTCTGAAACTGCAAGGCTTTCTTCCTCCTCCTTGCCCTCCTCCTCATCCTCCTTCCCTGTCCAAGATTGTTGAACTCTGGAACAATTCCAGCTTCTCTAATCATTTCTCTTAAGTATAACTTGGAAAGAGTTGGACTGGAGAGATGGCTCAGTGGTTAAGAGCGTTGGCTGTTCCTCTAGAGGACCCAGTTTCAATTCCCAGCATCCACACGGCAGCTCACAACTGTTTGTAACTCCAGCTCCAGGGTATCCATGGCACAAGGCATGTATGTGGTACACCTATCTGTTCATGCAGGCCAAATACCCATACCCATAAAAAACTGGAAAGAGTCTACAAAAAGTGTATAGTGTTTTATACTTAGGTGACTTCTACAGCTTTTGCTTAGGTTCCAGTTCCTGAGAACTCTGTAAAGCTTGGGGTGGAGCAAGAAAAAAAGGCGGAATGAAGTCAACTTAAATGGGATTGTATATTGAAATGAGGCTTGGAAATTCACACTGGTCCCCTTCAATGTACTCAGTCCTCACCACAGAGGACTGCTCTGATAAGACACACCACTTAGCTGGGAGAGAAGCCTGGAGAAGGACGCAGGAACATCAAGTGTGAGCTGCTTCTATCCATGCACTCCCATAGGCAAAACTCAAAAGCTGTTGTTGAGTTTTGTTAGTTGGGACATGATGTCAGTTGATCTGGAAAAATACTTCCGTCCTCACCGAGAGTCTCTAGTTTTCATTTCTGGGATACATGTGTCAGTCACTTAAAAACTCATTGTGATGGTACTTCACACCTATAATCCCAGCAGGAGATGGATGCAGGAGAATCACCATGAATTCAAAGTCAGTCTAGGCTACAGTCTGAGTCTTGGTTTCAAAAACAAACAAACAAACAAACAAACAAAACATCGTATCAGATACTTTTCTCATAGTTACGGCAAAATATCCCACAGAAACAAGTTCAGGAGGAAAGCCTTTCTTCTCTCATTGGTTCACAGGACACAGTCCACCATGGCATGGAAGGCATGGAGCCTGGGGAGGGAGGTCCTGACTATAGTGGAGGGAACTTGGGTACATCTGCCTCACATCTTGGTGGATTAGGAAGCAAAGAGCAGACTGGAATTGGATTGAGCTATGAAATTTCAAGACCCACCCACCCTTAGTGACCCACTTACTCTGTGGAAGCTACAGCTCCTGAAGGCTCCACAGCCATCCAAACAGTCTCATTAGTTGGGGATCAAGTGTTCAAACAAATGAGCCTGTAGGTGGGGCATTTTATATTCAAGCCTTAAGAGGTAGTGGAAATGATCTCTTGGCCAAAATAGTGCAATGCAGTATTTTTAATCATCTTCAGAGTCCTAGTTCATTCAGGTAATGGCCTGTTAAACATCAAGCTCCAATGATATCTACTTACCCTAGAAACACTGAGCCTTGAGCAGTCTTTGAAACTCTAGGAAGTGAGGATTCGGATCCCAACCTTAGTGCACTGTTGGGAGACTAAATGAAATGACATCAGCAAAGTCCCCAGGAGGGAGCCTGTCACCACACGGGAACTCGGTCAACAGAATCTTTTACAGTCATAATTATAAATTGTCCTGGACTTTTGTTTTGTTGAGACAGGTCTCATGTATCCAGGTCTGGCCCCAAACTTACTATGTCACTTACAATGTTACAAACTTCCCATGACCTTGACCTCCTCCACAGGTGATTATAACCATTATACCTGGTTTCCTGGGTGCTCAGGATAGAAGAAGAAAAAAAAAAGATTTTGAATGCTAGATTGAACACTGAGATAGATCCCTGCCCAGATCCTATTTTTGAATTTTGATTCTTCTAAAATGTCTTTATAAACTGGACTCTGAGCCTGGGACCCATGTCACCATAACTCAGCTTCAATGGTCATACATTTTATAAGTGAGTCAAAAAAACAAGCAAATAGCCTGGGCACAGTAGATTTGTTTTGGCTTAGTTTTTGTCGTTTGGGTGGAACTGGATATTGAGCCCAGGGTCTCATCACTGAGCTACAGACCTAGTCCTGGATTAGCTTCTAATGATGCAATCTTCGGTCAGCATTGGGTGGCAATTGCCCATAGTAGGTCCTGGAAAATATTACTTATTGATTCATGAAGTTATTTAAGAATCAGTGGATATTTACTGGATATCTGTCATCAGCCAAGAACAATCCCAGCAGATACTGACAAAAACCCATCCCTTCCTGACAATAAACAAATAACAAACACTTAATGGTGTAGATCATGAGGTAATACACCCATGCAATAACCACCCAAAGAAGCAGAAAGGATACAACTAATGTGTATGTCATGTCAAAACATGCCACCCTGATGGTGGCTTCTCAGGGAAAACAGACTACAGAAGATGGAACCCTGGCAGGTATGGCTATCTAAGGAGAAAGCATTCCCAGAAATGGGAACAACAGGAGAAAACCTGGCCCCATGGCAGAGCATGCCTGGCTTCTTTGTAGATCAGCGGGGTTGAAGGTGTTGGGGCAATGATGGTGACAGAGGAGGTCAGAGGAGCTGAGATCATGGGGAGTCAGGTAGACATGGACGTGCTGTGACCTGCCTTTGAGTATAAAGAAGCAGCTCTAAAGGCTTTTGAGCACTACAGACTCACCAGCTTCACCTAGTGGACCAAGATGGAGACCAAGAATGGGCCAAGAAACAGAGACATCAAAGAGACCATGGGAGGCTATTGCAATGCTCCTAGTGATGGGTTAGCTCTGATGGTGGCAATCTCAGCAGTGAGAAATGGCTAGCCTCTGGACATATTTGAAGGTCCAGCCAGCTCAATCCAATGGACAGCTTGGATGTGAGGTACCAATAAGAAAGCAGAGGAGATAACTCCAGCAGCTTTGGGACTGAATACTGAAAAGATATAGATGCCATTTTCTAAGATGTAAGAGCGGTGGTAAACATGTCACAGCTATGCCAACACAGTAGCTACCTCAGGATCTGGGACCTGATGGTAAGGTCTCCTGCCTGGTGGTGAGAATTCATGACAGGGATGTGCTGTTGCTCTTTGAAAGATGTGGATCAATGTTGGAGATACAGCTCAGGAGTAGAGCACTTGCCTTTTATGCATGAGGTCCTAGGTTCAATCTCCAGTACTGAAGAAAGACAAAAAAAAAAAAGCTTCTACCCATGACCAAATCTGGAGAAGTCCAAGGCCTGGATGTGATATAAATCCCTCTGCTCTGATGATGTAGATAGACATCTGCTATCATGAACAGGTTTGTTTGGTTTTCTGTTTGTCTTGTTTGTTTGTTGCCTCAGGTTGATGGTTGCATGTCTAATTTAATTGATTATCTTCTCTGCACCTTTAGCTAGCATGATACGTCTGTGGAGGACAGCTGCTGTGTCTGTTGGTGACCAACAGAGGGAGCTGAGAAAGCCCTGTGAAAGTCCTTGTTCCTGACTTGGCCTCAGGCCTGGCAGGATCATGCTGTGTTCTGTGAGGCCTGTTGTGGTAGCCTGTGTCTAAGGCCAGAGACAACAATTGTCTCTTCTGGGTCGGTGACTCCAGACCTCTCTAGGTAACTCTTCTGTTCCATGCCATCTTTTTGTTATCATGGATGCCAGATTAAATATACACTCAAAACAGGCTTTCAATGAATATCTTAAAAAAAAAAAAAAAATGAGAGGGGTATATATGCAAATAACAAGGAAAAAAAAAGCAACAATCCTGAAATCTCAGACCCTGAAGAAGGATAGGTTCTCTATCTAGGCCTGTTGTAACAAGTGACCAGACAGGTTTGCTTGAAGCCTGAGAGATTTTGCTCTCCCAGCTATAGAGGTCAGAAGTCTGGACTCAGCATTGTCTCGGGCTCAGCCTCCGTGTGAAGGCTGTAAGGAAGAAGACTTCCTTCCTCTTACAGTGGCTGGTGTTTATTGAAAAGCCTTGGCACTCTTGGCACGTAGCGGCGTCTTTCCCATCTCCGTCTCCATCTTCTCCGGGCCCTGGGCTGCCTCTGAGTTGGTGTCTTGTATTCTTACGAGGGTGACATTCTTTGTGGATGTAGGGCCCATGTTCATCCAGGAAGACCTCCTCCTGACCAGGCAAATGTGCAAACCCTACTCCCAAATCAGGTCGCATAGCTCCTGGGATTAGGATTTAAATGTACTTTGGAGTGGATTGGATTGAATTTGACCCCCACGGAGTGCCGGGGGAAATGCCAGGTCTAGCACATCTGGTGAGAGAGAGTCCCTGACCCCGAGCAATGGCTACCGCAGAAATGCTCACAGGCTGAAAGTGGCGAAGGCCACACGTGTTTGGGTACGACAGGAAGCTTGCCGATAAGGACGGCTCTGCTCCTCAGATAGGACGCGCTCTCCATCTGTGCTCATGGCCCTGAAAGTTTTTTTTTTTAAATCTTCTGTTAGTGGTTTAAAAAAATATTGTATAAATAAAAGGAATAAGAAAATAGCACTGCTCTGACTCACACATTGGGCAGAGCTGCAGACTCTTGGGATGATCAAGAAAGACTTCACTAAAGTGTTGGTGCTTAAGCCCAATCTTCAAAGATGAGGAGTAGGTCTCTAGGCTAAGGAGGTGGGGTTGGGGAGGGGGGAAAGGAAGGCAGGTAGGTAAGGCTTTGCATCCTAAGAGAAAGTGTTCACCGGAGTATGAAGTTACTTCACTGACATACTCTGCACCTCCTTTAGGAGGGTGTCACATCTCAAGGCCTTTACTGTCAACTTTATCTGCTGTGTTCAAATATTAAAAGAAGAAGAAGAAGAAGAAGAAGAAGAAGAAGAAGAAGAAGAAGAAGAAGAAGAAGAAGAAGAAGAAGAGGAAGAACGAGGGACAAGGTTGGAGGTGCAACCCACTGGTTGAGCACCTGCCTAGAGATCACAGGGCCCTGGGTTTCTTCCACTTCCATCACCGCAGGGGGAGGAGAGGAAGGTCAAACATGTTTCTGGTTTTAATGAATGCACAAATAAGAAAACGATAGCACTAGGAATACATATCAGGAGCAATCAGCTATTGGACACATTTGCCAACGCACAAATATGGAAACCCCACTCTCAGCAAGATCTGCAGAAATCAAAGAGCCGAATGTGGTAGAAATTCTTCTGCCCTGACTGCAGAAAAAGATCAGCCAACATTTTTTTCCCTCTGATATATTTCATTCTGCACAAAGGGCCAAACTGGGTTCTTATGAACCTGATTGTGAACCAAGATACTGGATTCAGAATCATCTCCATGAACTAGGAAAAATTAACTCCTCACTCTTCTTACCAGAGAAGCACCCCAGCTTGTTGCCTCTGAGCCTGAATCAGGGTCTGACCTGGTTTCTGTCCCAGAACTACTCCCCCAGTTTTTGGCACAGGGATATACAGGATGCCAGCAAAGTTCACACGGAGTCATCACAGTCTCTTTAAAGGCAAGATGATTCATGGCTGGGTGGGGGAGAGAGGGTATTGAGGGGAAAGGAAGTGCTGAGCAGGAGGGGGTGGAGCCATGCAGTTATGAAATTGACTGCAGGAAAAGCTAGCCCTGAGAGTGATGGGATCTTATGCTCTTACTATTGGTATTTAAGCTCCAGCTTTTAAAACAGAGAGAGGGTTGGGACAAGAAGCAGATCACACAACTCGGTTGCCTATTGCAGTAGAATGGATTCTATGCCCGTGTATTTATTACAATTACAAAGTACTAATTTCTCTTCATATCTGAAAAAAAAAAAGCAAAGCTCTCCCCCAACCATGTAGCTGGCAGAATAAGATTTTGGCTGCAGGGGGACGCGTGAGTAATTTGTCTTCTTCTATTTGATTGGCTGGCATTCCAGCTGACAGGGTCTTCTATTCTGCATGTTCATTCTGTAGTTAAGAAGAGAGTGTTTGTAATTTACAGTTTTGTCGAGTGCTATTATCCTGCCTTGGCAGAAGGCATCTGCGGCAGGAGTGGCGGGGGTGGGGGGGGGAGGTGGGGGGGGTTGGGGGGATGGGGGGGTGGGGGGGTGGGGAGACACACAAAGCGACACCAGGACCTCCAGTAGCAAGCCTCTAGAGACTCTCAGGTCCCTCCCACTCCCTGCTCCCAGCCCCACTTCCAGGCCTTTGCAGAGGTTTCAAACCACCTGCCAATCCCCTCTGAAACCCTGCCGTGGACAGTTTCTTCTATGAACTCTAGTTATTTATGTCAAAAAAAAAAAAAAAAAGTAAATCTTGCCAATGCATTTTTTTTCTGCACTACTTCCTCTTTGGGGTCAAGCTTGGTAAATTCTTCACAAAGGGATGCTCTTAAACTCTGACCCTTATTCAGACCGGCTTGTCCTGGCCAATGTTTACTCAAGTAAAATAAAGCAGCTAAGAGAGAACTTGTAGCCGTATTCTCATGCCATGAAGTCAGAAGGACAAAGGAGTCTCCTGTAACCCCCTAAGGATCTGATGCTTATTTCTGTAGTGTGCTGTGGTCCGCTGCTCTCTTTGGAAGCATCCTATGCTTGACAAGTCCAATCTATCAAGTGCCACTGTCTTACGTTCAGATGATGGTGCCTCTGGCTTGGATTTTAATTTAGAAAATGGATTTCTTTTGAGGAAAAAAAATGCCAAGTTGTTAATGAAACACTAAAAATAGAGTCCTAAAGGTTCCCAGCCAATAGCAAGCAAGGTTTAGCTCACATATCCTCAGCCTTAATGATCAGGCATGTTTTCTTTTCATATAAAGAGTTGTGCTCGTTAGATGATTGGAGTCACAAGTTATATTTAACAGATCAGTACCTCATATTCAATCTTGTTCAGAGTGGCCTTGATGACAACTGATCTCTAGCTTGCTCACAAATTAATAATGGCTAAAATTTAAAAAAAGCATCTCATTTGCTTTAGAAGTATCTCAGTGGGCTGAATTTATTATACATTAAGAAACAGATTTCCTTTTGATAGACTTAGTGAATTTTCTAGTTAGACAGAAAATTGTGTAATTTTCATATGTGTGTACAAATGTATGGATGTGTATCTGTGCATTTTGTAGTCCAGAGGTCAATGTTTGGTGTTTTCCATAGTCACTCTGCATCTTAATTTTTTTAACATTAATTAATTTATTGTGTATCTGTGTGTTTGTGCATGCATGTGTGTATGTGTGTGTGTGTGTGCATGCACGCGTGCATGCGTGTGTATGTGTGTGTGTGTGTGTGTGTTTGAATGCATGTGGGGGGGACAGATCAGTGTCAGGTGCTTTCCTTCACTTCCTTCATCATTCTTTTTTTCACTGGCGTGCATGCATGTGTGCACATGAGTGTTTCAATGTAGCCCTGAAAGTGCACATGTGGACAAAGAAGACAATTAGTGGTTCTTCCTTTCCATTAAGCAGGTCTCAGGAATTGAACATGCCATCAGGTTTGGTGACAGACCTTATTGGCTGATCTATCTTTCTGACCTGCAGTCTTATTTTTAAGACAGGGACTTTTTACTGAACTTGGAGCTCATGGATTCAGCTGGATGGCTGGTCAGCAAATTCTAGGGATCCTCCAGTCTCCCCTTCCCTAGCCCTGGGATCCCAGGGATCCTCTGTCTCCACTGCCCCAATGCTGGGATCCCAGGGATCTTCTGTCTCCACTGCCCCAGCCCTGGGATCCCGGGGATCCTCTATCTCCACTTTCACAGTCCTGGGATCCCAGGGATCTTCTGTCTCCACTGTCCCAGTGCTGGGATCCCAGGGATCCTCTATCTCCACTGCCCCAGTCCTGGGATCCCAGGGATCCTCTGTCTCCACTTCCCCAGTCCTGGGATCCCAGGGATCCTCTGTCTCCTCTGCCCCAGCCCTGGGATCCCAGGGATCCTCTGTCTCCACTGCCCCAGCCCTGGGATCCTAGGGATCCTCTATCTCCACTGCCCCAGCCCTGGGATCCCAGGGATCCTCTGTCTCCACTGCCCCAGTAATGGGATCCCAGGGATCCTGTCTCCACTTCCCCAGTCCTGGGATCCCAGGGATCCTCTGTCTCCACTGCCCCAGCCCTGGGATTACTGGTGTGCCAACAAAACCCAGCTTTTTACATAGTGCTGGGGATCTCAACTCAAGTTCTCGTGCTTTGAAGCAAGGATTTACTGACTAAGTCGTATCCCAAGCCCCAAATAATATAATTTTCATTATTAATGCCCAAAGCCAGTTGTCCCTAGAAGGTATCAGTTCCCAACCATTTAGCCACAAATAGCAAACCCCAAACGAGCTATAATGCTAGAATGTTATAGCTTTCTAGCATACGTTGGTTTTTTCAGAAGTTTACCAGGGTGACCAAGAGTCTGAGCTCCCCTCACAAAGAGTGGGTCACAAATGAGCCCAACAGCTTTCCTTCCCAGGCCCATAGTAGATCTACCAATGAGACAATGTATTCAGACAGACTACTCTCAGAGAACAGGAGTTACAGTCTGTGTCACATAGAGAGGGAGGGCACTCAGACAAAGGGCGAGCATCAGCTAATATCAGCTTCATGACTGCAAAAAGCCATCCAGGATCCAGAGGTGTCCAGTTGTGGGCTTTTTTAGACTAATCCTATGTTTTGCCAGCCCCGTCATCTATGCTATTGGTAGCTGGCTATGGAAACATTAAATTATGGGGCTGAGGGAGTAGAGGACTTGCCTGACATGATGAAGCTCTGGGCTCAATCTCTTTACACAGTAAGCAAATTAAAAAAAATATACTTAAATATAGATATAAATATATATGTGTGTTCGTGTGTATATGATCACTTGTATATTCATGTGTATACACCTATGTATATATGCATGTGTGTATATTTACATACATATATGTATATATGTACGTGTTTTTTCTTGGTTTTTTTTTTTTTTTTTTTTGGTTTTTCGAGACAGGGTTTCTCTGTGTAGCTTTGCGCCTTTCCTGGAACTCGCTTTGGAGACCAGGCTGGCCTCGAACTCACAGAGATCCGCCTGGCTCTGCCTCCCGAGTGCTGGGATTAAAGGCGTGCGCCACCACCGCCCGGCTCGTGCGCCACCACCGCCCGGCTATGTACGTGTTTTTATATGTGTTAGCAATATGTTTCATTTATCCCAAGGCATAGTGAATGTACATATGTTCAACCTTTAATTAATATGAAATTTATTGAGGTACTGAAATAGGTATATACACATTTATATATTTCATATACACAGATATCTAAGTAAGCCTTTAAATTTTGAAGCATATTTCCTACTTTCAGTACATCTCAATTGAAACTAGCCAAGTTTCAGGAGCTCAAAGGCTACAGTGGACAGTGAGGCTCTATATTAAAGTATTTGTTCGGTTGTTTTTAAAATTGCTGTTTTGTTTGGTTTAGTCGGATATATGTACTGTTGGATCATAAGCTGGTAGCAGATACTGCAGGGCAATGACCTTTAGCCAACTCGTTTTCTGTGGCTCTGGGGAACAGAACCCAGGGCCTTGATGATGGTAAGCAAGCATGCTGCCACGGAGCTGTACTCCAAACCCTCATTCCACTCCTGAATATTGGTGATACCATTTCATGATCCAGAAACCTGTGCTGCTACAGTTTGGTAAGAGATCAAACACATGATTCTGAAGCAGGTTTGTAGGTCTGTAGGCTGTGCACAGAGCCTCGGGACTTCAGCTAGGGTGTGGCCCATGGACCCCAGAGTATATTAAATGGGCAGCTTTTACTTTTCTTTCTCATTTGCTTCATTATTTTGGTTTATTTCTCTACAGGCTTATTTAGGAGTGCTATCTAAGCATAGTGTATTTGTTTTGTAACTACCATGGCTTGCTCAGTTTTTAAAATGACATATAGGATAAAGCCCTTTTTGTGAGAGCATGGTTAAAGATCTGGTCCTTAGTATTTCCATTAAAAATTCAAAGTTTCCAGGATTATTGCACAGCCATAACAAATTGTTCCAGGCAGAAACTTGGCAAGTACTTCCCTCCTGTGGGAGGAAAGACTTTTAACAATTCTAAAGAGATAAAAATAAATAAATGTTTACCACTTCAACTTCGATGTTCTTCGTTAGGAGGTGCACTTAGACGTATTTCATCTTCACTTGTGGTCTGGTTTACGAAGTCTGACCTTGCTCAAGAGTTACACAACTACTCTGCTCCCCCGCAACACTTCAATGAATGCAGTCTTGGATTCTCAGTTCTTTCAGCTTTGCCTGGTGTGTCTGGCCAGCTGTGAGCGTCTTCACCCTGGTGAAAATCTACACTTTTGTTTTGTTTTGTTTTGTTTTGAGACAGGGTTTCTCTGTGTTGTTTTGTTGCCTGTCCTGGATCTCGCTCTGTAGACCAGGTTGGCCTCGAACTCACAGAGATCTGCCTGGCTCTGCCTCCCATGCAACACCACCACCCGGTGAAAATCTATATTTTTAAAAGGTAAGACTGGTAACACTCTAAACTCTTTGTAGGCCAGTATGTTTTCCTCAGAGTGCATTCTTGGGGCCTATGTACTGTATACTAGATGCAAAGCAAAGCGCTGCTGATGGACGACAAAGTCTGGAGCAGCTTGAGAATTAAGACACAGTTTCTAATGATAAGATCCCAAGTAGCCTCCAACTTGCCACGTCGCCAAGGTTGTCTCTGGGCTCTAGATTCCTCTGTCTCCACTTCCCAAATGCTGAACCACAGGTCCAAGGCTCCAAGCCTGGTGCTCTATTCTTCATCTCTTACTGAAATGCACTCTTAACAGCTGGAGAATAATGTATGGCTATTATCCCAGCACTCCTTCGGCTCCGATAGCAGGGTTGGAGGTTCAAGGCCAGCCTGGGCTACATAATGAAATCCACCCTCAGGATAAATAGATAACTCATTAAATATCAACTAGGTCTCACTGTGTAGTTTCCTCATTTCAATCTTGGCTTCTGCTATGTGCCAAAGCCACCCCAGGGTAGGGTCTAAGGGTGAACATAGGAGAACTGTGAACAGCATGAAATACTCCAGCAATATGATCAAGAAATTGATAGTCATCATGGCCAGCAGTAGAAACAGCCTAAAATAAGACAGTTTTGAAAGTACGGCAAAAACTATTTTTTAACCAGTGTGTTTGACTCAAAATCAATTTGAGTATAATATTCGTGAACTAACTCCCTTTTAAGTTATGTATTAGTTTCTTGCAGGGTTGCCTTATTCTGAAGAATTATTATTTTTGACCAGAGAAAACTAATGCACCTTTTTCTTTCATTAACAAAATTTTATCATGTTCATATTTACTGTGAGGATGTATGTGAGGGGGTACTCACACTGAAGTGCTCCCATGAACTTGGTCTGTTCTTTCACCATGTGGATTCAGGGACTGAACCTGGGTCCTCAGGCTTGGTGACAAGCTCTTTTAACCTTTGAAGTATGTCAGCAGGACAGGGAATCCTTTCACTTTCTTTTTCTTAAGACGACATCTCATGTATCCTAGGTTGGCCTTGAACTTGCTATGTAGTTTAGGGAAGATGACTTGGAATTCCCCATCCTGCTGCCTAGATTACAGGTGTGTGCCAGCTGCACTCGGTGTGGTGCTGAGCATCAAACCAGGGCTTTCTGCGTTCTTGGCAATGAGGTATCTTTCCCCAGCAGGATTCCTGAGGTCCACCGGAAGAATGCAAGCCTAGAACTTGAAATGAGTGGATCCTGTATCTTTTATTTTATGGTAATTTGCAATCCGTTCAATTATTCAATTGCTGTAACCTGGTAGGCAGTTCATGTTTGCTAGCTTGTTTGTTTTGTTTTGTTCTGAATGACATAACAGGCTACTTCCAATGCAAACATATACTACAACTGAAAAATCCGTCACAGTTTGGAAGGCCCTGTGTACACTGGTTGTATTAAGCACTCCTGTGCTCCCTCTACTGCCTCAGAGAAGACATTCATAGTCAAGACCCCAGAACACTCACTCCTAACCAGTTTCTTTAGGTGATGAAACAGGGCTCTTCAGAGAAAGAGTACCATTTCCTTCACATGTAGATAGTCACCCCTCAAACTGGAGGGCTAGTTTTAGGGTTTTTCTGAAATACTCAAATCTTAGATTGTCCAAGTATATTATATAGTGTTTGCATACCACATATTCACGTCCTCCTACATGCTTTACATTAGAAGTAATTTAAGTTTATAGCATAACTAAGTCCTCTAGATTACTTATAACACCTAATGCAATGGAAATACTTGCTTTTCTGTGTTATTTGTGGAACAATGATGAGGGGCAAGTCTATAGGTATTCAGTATGGATGACTTTAAAAATTTTTTTTTTCCTACAAGAAGCTGGTTAAATTTGAGGATGCAGAGGTCCAAGTGCAATGTGGTATGTTTTCATTGGTAAAATAATTAACATAAAGGTAATTCATTGGAGAATTAAGTTCAGTACTCGTGGCCAAATGTGTCCAGACAGAGCCGCATAGTACAGACCAGTGTTCTTCATACTGGGATGTGCCGAGTCTTTGTAGCCAGTTCAAAGGCAGACTCTGACTGCATATTGTGGCGTAGGAGCCTTGATTCGGAAGTCTAAAGTCCTCCGGCTGGTGGTGCTGCAGCAAGTGCTGCTACTTTTTAGACTTCAATTTTAAACACAGAAATGTAATATAAAAGTCTTGTGACTTAATGTGTGGTTGCTAGTCCATTTTAAACTTTCAAAAGTAGATGGGACAAAAACACTGACATGGAGAGAAGGCGGGCAGGAGACATGGCTGGAGACTTGAGAGCACTAGTGTGGATCCAGGACTCACCAAACGAGCCTGGCATCCCACACGCCCGTTAGCTCTGCTGCAAGAGGGAAGAAACAGGCAGCAATGACTAGGTTTGTTGGCTTCTAGCCTCGTCTAGAAGAGATGAGCCTCAGGTTCAGGTAGACACTCTGCCTCAAAGGAGTACTTGGAAAGTGATAGGATACACAACACACACACACACACACACACACACACACACACACACACTAAATAAATAAAACTTTAGAAAAATGAATAGATGGTACTAATATTTCTTTTCACGTTGTTTAAGTAATTCATAACACAGGTTAGGAGTAAGGCTCAGCAGGCCTTCTTCCTCAATTTGACTCCATTTCAAAGCTTGCTGCATCTTGTATAAATATAATATCAGATTTGGGTTTAGGGGATTGGCGCTATACAACTGCCAACTGCCACCGTGACACCTCTGCTTTTTCCACTGAGTTTTCATTTGCATGAGAACTTTTGCTTTTAAAGAACCTGTCTTGTTACCTCTGATGGTACATTTGATATTTTGTCATCTGGAAACAAAACATTTCAGGAAACTGTTTCACGGGTATTATGTTTGTGTTGGACCTTGCAGGAAGCAGTAGCTGTAAGTTGTGTGTGTGTGTGTGTGTGTGTGTGTGTGTGTGTAAGAGAGAGAGAGAGAAACAGAGACACATACACACACATACACACACACACACACACACACACACACACACACACACACACAGACCAGAGAGAGAGAGTTAGTTTATGGCTTTAATCTTAATGGCTAGGAAAGTAAACAGCACATTTCTTATTAATTATTTTTACTGTGTGGGTAATGCACATATTTAGCATTCTTCAGGGAACATTTAAATTAATTGACTAAGTCTAATATGAATTATGTGTTTTAATATGTTTAAGGTTGTTAAAATAATGCAAATTAACTGCTTGCAACAACGTAATAATTACAATATTAGTTTTTTTTCCCTTGAAAATTCTCTAAATCTAAGACGTCTAAAAATAGATTGGAGGTGGATTGGACAGTTTGCAGATTATGAGCTGGAATAAAAACATCTCAGTTACGCCAAAAACATGGCAACCAATATTTTCTGTTATAAAAATATTTTAGATGAATTTCGCTTTTTTTATGAAAGCTGTCTGCAACTGAAATGAAGAGCAGAAGCTTTGTCGCTTCACGGGCCAGCAGTAACAATACCTGCAGCACAAAGCATACATACACGCCTTTTCCACGTGAAGCCGGCAAGCTTCCGCTCCTTTTCAAAGACAGTTTACCCAGAGGAGCTAGAGATACCACCCAGTTAAGCTCTGAACTATTAACCTTCACTTGGATAAAGCTCAGGAGGGAAAACAAAACTAGTCAGAGCCTTGACAAGGAAACTCCTGTTAACCGTCCACTAGAGGCTGTAATGAGACCAACAATGTCACTTTAGCATATGAAGTGTAACAATCAGGGATCTTTAAGTGAACAACAACACAAGTTACGGAGCGGGGTGAGAGGGAACAGTCGTAGTTCTATTTAAGTAACCGTGGATGTGTGCACGCTATTTCAAAACCTGAGAATAGATACGTATCCTACACCCGCCCCATGGCTGCTGCTGCTTCTTTTTCTTTTTCTTTTTCTTTTTTTTTTTAACTTCTGAAGTGCTGCCTCCACAACACAGTGGTTTAAAAGCTCACACATTTCTCTTGGTGATTCTGTACGCTGCTTCAGACAGTGACTAACTGCTAGGTCATAAGCAAACGGAGCCAAACGGTCTCTCAAACCCCGCTTACAGTCAATAATAGTGGCTTCCTGCAAGACCGAGGGATCGGGTTTCTAGACTCTTAGTTCTAAGCACCTGAAAGAGGTCAGATGCTGGCCTGACACCTACTGGTCTTCGAGAATTATCTGCAGCAAAGAGAACGCCGCACTGAGCGACCCTTGCAGGGTTGCGCCTGCTCTTCCTCCGGGTGCCACACCTGTTGGCAAGGTGCACTCCTCCGGAGAAGGTTCTTTCCCACCAAGCTCACACCTGGCAGTGGTGTAGCGGAGGGGGGCGGGTGGGGACTCCACGTCTGCGTTTAGCTACTGGGACCAGGGGAAGTTCCTTCGCCGTGGCTCGGTGAGAACGGCCATCGAATGCTCGGTGCACCGGTTACCTCACTTCCGATGAAATGAATGATCCCCAGTTAGCTGCAAGAGGAGTGAGCAGGTCGGCTACCAGGGCTAAAGCTGAGACGTTCAATTCCTACTGCAGATTTCTAGACCTGCAGAATTAGAAAGAAGGGCCGGGAGGTCGCCAGCTTGTCCCGGCAGGAAAGGTGAGGGCGCCAGTGCAAACTGAAGAAGCCTGACAACTTTCCCGAGTTGCAAGTCAAGGCGCGGGCCCGGAGTGGGGTTGCTCAGGGCTCACGGGCTGGAGGGTTAACAGCGAGGATACAGTGAGTCCTCTTAGACGCTCACCGGGGTCGGGGGTGGGGGGCACCAAGGTCACTTGGGGATTAGAATCAGCGGACTTCCCTGCATCCTTGGTTATTTTACTAGGTGGGAGCCGAAGCCTGACATTCGTTGCGGTGAGTCCTCCCGGTTGCCGGAGTTGCACCCTGCACTCACCCAGTCCCCTCCAACTAGGTTGCAAGGAGCCGGGGAGGCGCGCGAGCACCGATCGGTCACCACTCTAATGACCTCATCGCCCCAACTTCCCCGCCCCTTTCTCAAACCTGGAAGGCACAGTCCCCTCAGGCCGATGTCCAGGATCCGGAGCCGTAGTTAGGGAGAGGCACCGGGCCTCCCCTGGAGGGACCGCTGCTCCGGCCGGGTGCACAGAAGGGTTAAGGGCGCCGGCCGGCAGCCGCGCCGTGCGCTCGCCGTGCTCTGTGCGGCTCGCCGGGCCGCCTGCCAGAGGGTGCCCCCCCCCCCCCATGAAGTCGGATCCTTGAGCTGTGGCGGCAGCAGCCAACTGCTCCATATTTGGCTTCTATTACACATTTACATACTGGAGCGAGCGAGCGAGCGCGAGAGAGAGCGCGAGGGAGGGAGGGCGGGCGGAGGGAGGAGGGAGGGGAGGGGGGAGGAGGAGGAGGAGGAGAGAGCAGAGTATACCGCAGACATCATTTCTACTACAGTGGCGGAGCCGTACAGGACCTGTTTCACTGCAGGGGGATCCAAAACAAGCCCTGTGGAGCCGCAGCTAGAGCTACAGCAGCCGCAGGACACTGTGTCTCTCCCTCTGTCCCCCCTTCCCCACGCAACCCCAGATCCATTTACACTTTACAGTAAGTGGCTATTTTTTTTCCTCCTCTGATTCTTTCTCTCCCCCTCCCCCATCCTCTTCTTCCCCCCCCTCCCCCGATTTAGATTAAAATTATCCCCTCCCTCACCCCAATCCGCTCTCTCCGGAGAGGGGCCAAAGAACATCCAGCATACAACCCCCTCCCCCAGTCTCAATGGGCTGCAAGGAAAACAGCTGGAAGAGGAGCGAAGGAAACCGACGCGTCGTGGTGTGTGTGTGTGTGTGTGTGTGTGTGTGTGTGTGTGTGTGTGTGTGTGTGTTCGCGCGCGCGCGCACGCGTGTGTGTGAGTGTGTGTACATACACCCGTGCCGGGCTCCAGCCTCCCGGCTCGGGACCCCACTCTGGGCGCAGGAGCGGAGGGCAAGGGGAGCAGCCAGGGACCGGGTGGGCGGCCCCCAGGAGAGGGGGGCGCGCCCGGGCGAGGGGCGCGGGTGGGGAGAGCAGCGGCGCCCCGCTTAAGCTGCTGCTGGCCCGGCGGCGGCGAGCGCAAAGAGCCCAGTCCTCCTCCCTCCCGGTGGCGCAGGGGGAGGCGGCAGCGGCTGAGGGTCGCGCTGCCCTCTTCGCTCTTGCAAATTCTCTCTCCCGGGAGGGGGCAGTGAGCGCCGCGGGGGCTCGTGGGAGGGCCGGGCTTCCCCGCCTGGGGTCGCCTAGCTTGAGAGAAGCGACCCCAAGACTGGGGTCTCCCCGCCCAGGCCAGCCTTTTAGGGCCGGGGACTTTGCGCACGGCCTGGGGAAGCGGAGAGGTGGCGGCGCAGGGGGCAGGGGCGCGCCGGCTATCGGAGCGCAGCCGGAGTGGCGGCGGGGACAGGCCCTGGCTGCAGCCGCCACCGCCGCCCTGTTGGTGCGGTCGCTTCCTGATCCAGAGCAGCCGCCGCCGCTGCCGGAGCCGGGAGCCCGCGAGCGCCCCGGCCCGGCCCGGCGTCCCCGCCGGAGCCCGAGGCAGCAGCGGAGGAGCTGCGGGCTCTGCCCTGCGCCGGGACTGCTCGGCTGCGCGGCGGCAGGGAGGGTGAATGAAGATGGGAGGAGGGGAAGGAGGAGGCGGCGGCGGAGGAGGCGCTGCGGGGATTGGGATGCGCCCCGGAGCCCCGCGGCTCGTTCACTCGGGGGCCCGAGACGCCGCCACTGCTGGGGCTGCCGCCGCCGCCGCCGCCGCCGCCGCCTCCTACGTGGTTGCAGCGGAGCGCGCAGGCCGGTCCCGCAGGGGGCAGGGAAGGGGCCGGACGGGCGGAGCGAGAGGTGAGGCGGGGTCGGAGAGGAGGGAGTGAGTGCATGTGAGTGTGTAGGTGCGTGTGTGTGCGTGTGTTCTCGCTCCGGGCGGGGGCCAGGGCCTTCGCGATGGGGATGGGGCTCCACGGTGGTCCTTTGGCTGACTCTGCAGCGCCTCGACCTCTCGTTAGCCACCTCCTTCAACTCTGTGGCTTGTGCGCTTTCATTTTATTTCAGACCACGTAGAGAGCTGACTGGAATCGGTGAAACAATTCAGGTTTTCTAGGGAGACTGAGCAAGGACCTTAGTGGTGGGGGGTGGAAGTAGGATGGTGATCTAGACTCCGCCAAAAAACAAAAAAAAATCAAAAATCAGGGTGTTAAGACTGTGGAGTTCAGTTGGATCCCATAGCTGTCTTGTTTTGCTTTCTTTCTGTATAATCCTACAGATAAGAGGGTAATATAAATACTTGGGAAGGTTGGGAAATTGCTGAAGAGTAGTAAGGGCGGAAAAAAAAAAAGCCAGTCGGAAGCTGGTTATATAATGCGCTATGTGGCTAACAAGAAAGGCAAGCTATTTTTATTTTGTTTACCGTATGTTGTGCAGTAGGAACTCCTCCAAACTGGTTCTGTCCCCAAAGAGATTTCTTAGCTCCTCAGAGAGCCACAGGATACAATTAGTAAAATTAGAAGACCCCACATCACCTACAGAATAAAAAGTAATGCCTTAGTAGAGTTCTCACCTCATCTCCTGCCTAGCATGCAGGGGAATGTGTGTGTGTGTGTGTGTGTGTGTGTGTGTGTGTGTGTGTGTGTGTGTGTGTGTGTATGCAATGTTTCCCTTAGCAATCTAGTAGTCTCATCTCAGTGACATTTCTGTTTTATAATGCAAGCTCTTCTTAATATTTAAACATCATTGCTATAGATCGTACACAACAAGGTCGTTACATGCTGCTTATTTTTAGGCACAGCTGGTTACTTTTTCAATAGTGTTTCCTAAGCTATTTCTGTGTGGCTTTTTGAAGAGCCCTACTGTTCTTAGAAGCCCTAGTTAAGCCCACCCTCTGGTTTCGTGATGATGGGTGGGTAGCTAAGATAGTTCGATAGCTGAGAATTTATTTTTATTTTACTTTGAATGAAGCTTATGCCAGCGGAAGCTAGAGATAGCCACCAAGGAGAAGAAAAACATGCGCACGAACTCTTGGAAAGGGATTGCACCATAACAGTTTAGCTGTGGCATTTAATCTCCTCTGATTGCCCTCTAACTGGCCATGCATCAGTCAATATTTTCGCAGCTTTGCAAATAAATGGGCTTGAATGCTACCTTCCACATAAAGCCTCCTGCTTGTCTGCCTCTCTCATCATACAGATACTGTCGGTGGTGTTAGTTTTCTGTACACTTACTCCGGCCCTGATCACTCATGTAATTAGATCAGGCTGCCATGGCAACAGACAGTGTTCCTCGGTCCATTCAGGTGGGTTGGCCTGAACTACTTGAAGTGTTTTATGCACAGTATTTGAGCTGCCCCGAACCAGAGAGGAGAGACTTCACCATTTCAATGGCATCTTCTCTCAGTTGTTTGAACAGGAGATACTGAATGAGGCTTCTAGCTACTCAGCTTTTCTAAAGGAAACCAACACACTGTTCCTACTGGGTACAATATGTAAATGCATCTCCCCAGACAGTGAAGGGAGCCTGACAGCCCTGCTGGTGTTTATTGTGAGCAGATCAACAAGTATTTGATACTTGCTAGAGACCTTTCAGAGCTGACTAAAGCAACATTTCTTTTGCAGTCTAGAGCCTTTGGCCTTGCAGGCACTTAACCCTTTCAAGTGAGAGGAGAGCACACCCATGCTTTAGAATCGAAATTGCTGACAATGCTGCCTGGCTTTCTAGGTAGCTTCCTAAGAGGAGGTGGCTTCTCTGGAAAGCGTATTTCCCACTGTTACATTTTAAATCCTGACAGCCCACATTATAAAAAGGGATATTGATAGTAGGCAGGCATTCTGAATGTTACTTTTCTTCATTTGGATCTTTTGCTCCTGATCTTTGATGATCTTCAGGAGTAATTAAAGATATATTTGCAGTTAAGTTAGAGATGCTACAAGCCAGTATCATGCCTGGAACTTTGCACAGTAAACTGTGTGTATCGTACTTTAGGATACAATTTAAGAAACATTTAGAGAGCTGCAGACCAGTGTTGGCATCCCAGTACCGCCTTAAGCCTGGTAAGGCCAGAAAAATTATATTATGACTGAAAAGATAACAGAAAAGTAGCTTTAGTTGCTGGAGTCTGGCACCTTTCAGACGGCCCAAACGAAGGGGAATGTTTTAGTAACTTTGAGTGTGTCATGATTTAGTTGTGACCTTGCCAGTCAGTTTATAGTTTTAAGGCCAAGTAGCTAAATCGGTTAAAATAGAAGAAAGAAAGAAGAAGAAAGAAAGACACACAGAGAGAACCTCCCCAACACACACACACACACACACACACACACACACACACACACACACACACACACCTCCCACCTTTCCAGGGCCAAGACGGGAATAATTGCTCAATTCTCCTCATAGGGGTTTTATGAGTTTCCCCTGGTTACGGAGTTTATGTGGTTGCTACATTATTGTGGCCTGGTCCAGTGAGGCATCAGTGTGGTTAAAATGAGCTATTATTTCTGAGAGGTAAATTCATGTGAAGCCAGAGTCTAAAATAGAGGACAGAGGTTTTAAGTTTTACACATGCCTTGGAGGCCCTCGAAGCTATTTGCAACAGAAAATGGCTTTACTTGCAATTAAATGTGTGCGTGTGTTGTTCAGTGTACAAATGAATGCTTGCTAAAATAAATATGGGAAGTGTCTGTACTTGATTGAGAACTGGACACCCCCCCCCCCCCCCCGCCACTTTCGTTTTAAGAGGGTTTGGACAGCAGTGATATTTTGTTAGAAATAGCGTGGAGAGACTTCAGGCCTCTCAGTTGGCTTTGAGAGAACGATTAAAGAAAAACTCCTGAGCCATCAGATTACAGATCAAATAGCTGCAGATGGTCAGAAGTTTCCATTGCCTAGAGTCCCAGGACCCTCCAGTGTGAAGAGATTACTAAAACGATGATCAACACTCCTATGGCTCCTAGGGTTTCTTGTCATTAGAGAGTTCAAGGATTCACATTCCTTTTGTATAATGTGACCTTGTTTTCTCTCCCATCCTGAAATGTCAAGAGGATTTTGCTCCTGCATATACCTTGAACGACAGCTTCCACTGACTAATAGACTGTGCCAGTTTGCTAGGCTTCCCATTAGGAGTTAGTCAATAAATATACTTTGCTAAAAGCCAGAGCTCACGTAAGCAGTTGAATGTAGGAGTCAATGTTGATTTCTTGGAACTGTAGTCATCTGAAGGCAACACGTAATTTAGACTCCAGAAAAGCTTAAATACTCGCATGTGAAAAGAGCCTTCTCTTTTCAGTCTGTCATTTTTAGGGGTTGACTGACTTCCTGG